GAGGATATTTGGGCCTAGGAGAGAAGACGATGGGGCATGGAGAAAACTGCATAATGATGAGCTTAAAAATCTGTACTCCTCCCCCAATATTGTCAGGGTGATTAAGTCGAGAAGAATGAGATGGGCGGGGCATGTAGCGCGCATGGATGGGGCAAGAGGTGTCCACCGGGTATTGGATGGGAAGTCTGAGGGGAAGAGACCGCTGGGGAGACCTAGACGTAGATGGAAGGATAATCTCAGGCAGGATCTATGAGAGATAGGAGCTGAAGGAGACTGGATTTTGTTTGCCCAGGACAGGGTCCGGTGGAGGGCTTGGGTTAATTCGGTGATGAACCTTCGGGTTCCGTAAGCCATCTAGTTAGTTAGTTATTAATTTCAAATATGAACAACAATTATCCTAATCCCAATATCAATATAGTTAAGCCTGAGATGAAATGTGTATTTCTGACAAATCTCAAGTAAGTCTGATGTAACAATTCTCTCTCCACTTTGTGTTGGCAGGTCAGTGATATGGCAAAGTGGGGAAGCATATCAGCCAGTGCTGGAGCATGGATGTTCATGAAAACCAGAAGACAGCGGCACAACACACAATAGAAATACCCAAGTTGCTTTTTTACTACACAGAACCAAGTTCACAACTTAGTATGAATATTGATAAATTACATATAAGACATGAACAACAGTGTATTAATCACTTGTGATAAAACAAGATGTCACTGCAAACTCACAATGTTACCACAGTTGTCTACAATCCAGCTGGTAGTGTTCCTGGTTTTCCACATTAACTCTGATAGAAAGAGAGCTCATACAATAATCCCTTTGTTCACCCATCCACACCCAATCTACTTACCAACCCAACCAACCCAGCACAAACTGGACCATTACAAATCATAAGCTTGAGGATATGGAAGAAAGGAGCAATAAAATATTACAAGATACCATCACAGAATTTTCCTGGAGTGACTGAGGAATATCTAAAAAGCAATTCCTTGGTTCCACAAGAAAGAGCTTAATTTATAACACATCAATGGGGCCTCTCAGTGCAGTATATGCAGATACAGCATAGCTACTGTAGACAAAAATACATGGGTATATACTGGCCCTTAATCCTGAGAAAGTTAGTGGACATTATTTATCTTGCTAAGAAAGCACCAGTAGTTTTTATAACAGATTTTCTTACATGGCAGCTTCGAAAGTTCTGAGACAGAAACAATTAGTCACAGTAAATATAAATGTAAGTTCTTACTTTTACAAATATACAACAATATTCCAAACTTATTTACATATAAATAAATAACTCATATGTTAATTAATTTATTCACAGAATAATGGAAAACAAACATAAGATACATAAAATAAGAAGATCAACAGAACACATACTATAATAATTTACAAAACAGATGAATAAATGAAAAACTTGCATTGTAATATAAAGTAGTTTTAAAGGAAAAACCTGAAGATGATGCTACGCATCGAAACATGTAGTAAATGAAGGCGCAGTATTGTAACATCGTAGTAACAATGAATAGCGCAAATTTTAAATTTTAACATCTGTAAATAAAGTTTGTGTATAGACCTGAATTATATTATATATTTTAATTACTAATGCATATCAAGACATGTACATTCTTTATACATGAAAGGTCAGTATTTTGAGGCAGATCTGAAGACTTCTTAATGCCTCCTGATACAATATACTACACCTGTCCCAGAATCTTTGAAGCTATCATACGTATTTAAAAACAAAATTTTTACCTACTTCAAATTTACATTCTATACACATGTCCAGTGAAAGAAATGTAGCAGAAAGTCTGCAGTCCATTTGGGTACTTACCTCCCTTAGCAATCCAAACAGCACATCTGTGCTGAGAGAGCGTTCATGAGCCTCATCCATGATAACGGCACTGTAGTTGTCCAAATCCGACTCTCGAAGTGATTCCCTCAGAAGGATACCATCAGTCATATACTTAATAATTGTTTTC